GCGTTAACACGCCCACCACCGGGGTCACTGGCCGGGCCATCCTGGTTCGTTTAAGTCCTTGTCCTCTGTGACCCTCAGGAAGCTTTTTTTTTTTTTTTTTCCAACAGCATGTAGAAAGATGAGGAGTTTCTTATTTATCCACGGAGGATCGAAGAGCCAATGGCCTACTAGCAGCTGGTCTGCTTTGACCAGTCCACACGCCACAGTGTGAGGACGGCATACAACCCCAGTTGGAAACGGAGCCTAAACAGCTGCGGGCAAGGTCGAGTCTGTCTGACCGACAAGAGCAATGCCGTTGGGAGAACCCGGTGACCTCAAGGCCTCCGAGCGTGAGGCAGGTCCAGGACTAGAGCACGGGCCGCTCTGCCCACAGGCTCGGGATCGGGCCCTGCCCCCCTCTCCACCTTTCCTTAACCTGTCATGTTCCCTAGATGTGGGTGCGTGTTCACATGAGATAACAACAGCCTTGTTATCACTTTGGTAGAGGACTCGTGGTCCAGCCCCCTGCTACCGCCTGGACTATTTCACCGGACGGCACCACCCGTCACCGTAAAAGTGGCTCCTGCTTGACACCCTGGGCAAAGCCCGTTCCAAGAGCTGACACGATGTCACTGAAATGAGCTCCTGAAGTGAAGACGCAGGGTGTAGATACTTGGAAAATTAGGAGATTTTTGTTACATTTTGCTAAATTGCTCTCCAGGAGGAACGAAGAACTTACAGTCTCACTGCAGTGTGTGAGTGTCCATGTCCTGCGTCAGAGCCAAAACTCACTCACTGTTGTTCGGAGTCGTCTGTACTGCTCACGTGGTATAATTTCCATTTCTTTGATGATATGTGAAACCAAATACTTCTCATAGATAAACAGCTGTTTGTGTCTCTTATGAATCACCTTTTTTTTAAGATTTTATTTATTTTTATTTTAGAGAGAGAAGGGAGAGAGAGAGAGGGAGAGAGAGAGAGAGAAACATCAATGTGTGGTTGCTGGGGGTTATGGCCTGCAACCCAGGAATGTACCCTGGCTGGGAATCGAACCTGCGACACTTCGGTTCGCAGCCCGTGCTCAATCCACTGAGCTATGCCAGCCAGGGCTTTATGAATCACCTTTTCACGTTCTCTTTCCACGGGGAGTATTTCATGGTGTTGTTACTGATTTGAGCAGCCCTGGCTGGGAGCCTGTGGGCCAGACAGCGAGAAAACCCTCGGAAGTGGGCCCCGTCCTGCTGAGCCAGAGATCCAGGGAAGCCGGTCCTGCTATGCGGCCCAGAGAAAGGGCATCTGGCAGCAGCTCTGCCTTCCTGTCTGGGCCCACGCTGCTGCCAGGCTGCTGTGGAGAGAGCTGGGCAAGGAAAGATAAAGGGAGGGGATGTGAGAGACCAGGGAGAAGGGAAGAGGAGGAGGGCAGTGCAGTGAGAAGACAAGAAATCGTTTTGAGGGTGAGAAGGGCAAGAAGTCCATGCAGGGAAGTCTTCCTGGGGCCTCCGTAGGCTGGTGGGGAAGCCCCGGGAGAGGGCAGGGGGGCTGGCCAGGGTTAGAAGGTGTCAGTGGGCAAGCTCGGGACTGCACACCAGTGCACGACGGGCAGTTTGGAGACTGACAGGCAGGTACACTCCAGCAGGCCAAGGGAACTTGCCTTAGTGGCGGGAGGAGGCGAGGTGGTCGGAGCCTCCCCCCAACTCCTGGGCCACATCCCCAGTCCCCAGGTTCTGGGTCCCTTTCTGCAATGCCACTCCGCCTGCTGCACAAGTCACTGCAAATTAATGTGCCTTTAAGAGGCCAATAACACCCTCTTAGACTGAAAATGCTGGCAAAAGACCAATCATTTTTCATCTCTTGATTAAAATGTCTAAAGAAGAAATTGGAAATAATTCAGTGAAGGAAGCTCTCGCTCTTGGAGCTGCAGAATGCAGAATACATTGGGAGGTGGTGGTAAGAGGCAGTGCTGTCCTCTCTGCCTAACAGAGCAGCCATCTCTGTCCCCCTGGAAGTGACCGGTCCACGGCGCAGGGGGGCTCCCTGGGGAGGCCACCAGAATACAACTGGTGCGTACATAGGACCCAGCGTCTCTCAAGCGCACCTTTGTCAGAGTGTTTGCTGGAACTGCACGTTTTCAGCCATTTTCCTCGAGTCGTGATCACCGCGCCTGGGGCAGAACCAGGAAATCAGCCGTTTAAACGAGGGTTTCTGGTGGTCCTGGCGACCTGGCGCGCATCACACTCTGCCCCCTGGAGAGGTCAGAAACTCAGTCCCGAGGAGTTCCGTTCTGCCTAAGGCGTCACAACTTACACACACCAACTCTTCCACCAAAACAAATAGACACGATGAACCAGACATGGTTTAAAAATTCTGTTTAGAAGCAACAGCGAGCTATCAAATGGGGTGAGGTCATCAAGCCACCGAGACCATGGAAGGAAGAAATCACAGAGGTGAACCTGCTATTTGGCACAGCCATTTGCCTTGAAGCTTTTTCTGATTCTTAAGAAAAACCTAAGAGCTGGAAAGCTGTGCTTTGTGGAAACGGATGCATGAAAAATCCAGGCGGAGGAGAAACAAAGGAGAGAACAGCAGCCCTTGGCCCAGGGCTTCCCACCTCCGGCCGGGGACCGCCTGCCTCCTCGCATCTGCCCCACACACCCACGGGAGCGCTGACAGGCTCGGGCACTCGAGGAAGCTCTAATGGACTGAGCCGGTGGCCCCAGGACCCAGGAGGGCTCATGGGAGGCTTGGGAAGAGAGAAGCCAGGAATCCCTCGCAGACGGCAGAGGGTGATCAGAGAGCAGGGCAGTGGGAAGAACAGGCTGTGAAATCAGTCCTCAGCACTTACTCCGAGCGGAACCTTGGCCTCAGTGTCCTCCTCCGGGAGAAAGGCACAGAGATAGTCCCAGAGTCAGAAGGAACTGCGAGTGCTACTACATGTGAACAAGTGCAAAGTGGCCACTGTGCGTCTCCCTTTCCCTGGCTCCGTGCGCTCCTGTGGGAGGACTTCAGCCAGAGTAAGACTCCTGTCCCCTCCCGCCTCCCCTCACCGTCGTTGGGTGAGTTTGACAGAGGAAACTAAGGCTGCCGGCTTCCGCGACACTGCCACACAGCATCCTCCACCCCCCGGAAGGCCCGCAAGCACGCTGAGCAGCCGTGCCCACGGTGCGTGCAGGACACGTGTGTCTCAGGCAGGAGTCCAGCATGAGGAAGGCTACACCTGAGCCGCATCCTCCAGCCCATTCATGAAGCTCCCTCTCCAACCACGCTCCACCCGAGCGCTGTGCCCTCTCCGGTGGCGTGGACCCCAGGAGGGCAGCGCCTGCAGCCTCCCGGTAGAGAAAGCACTCCCTGAAAGCCTGCTGCACGTGCACCCCCATGAACAGGGTCCTCCCACCACACCTGTCAGAGCTCCTGGACAGTCCCTGTCCCCCTGAAGGGACACTGGTCCTCCTCTAAGCAACCCAGACAATTGCATAATTGGTCAGCAAACCAGCCTTCCATTTCCGTTACGCGTCCTGATGGGCCCTGGAGGAGATGTCTGGGGTTTTACTTCCACAAGCCACTGCCCCCAAGGCTTGAGGCCCTCCCGTTCTGGGGCACTGTGGCAGCTGGACACCCTCTGCAGAGAGCTCCAGCCTCGGCCAGCACACCATTTCTTCCTCCAAGAAAACCTCGGAGACCACGGGCAACACGCACGCGGGTCCGTTCCTTTGTCAGGAATTCACAGGCTAACGCTCTGAGCTGGGGTCCTGCGGGAAACCATTACTTGGGCAGAGAATTTGGCCGTGAGCCAGCGGAGAAGGTAGCATGTAAACATGACTAAACCACCATGTGATTCACTGAATTCCCAATGACCTCTGAGAGGAGAGAGAAGAGCTGGGACCAGGAAGAAAGCTCCTCCGTGAACCCACCATGCCTACACGGTTACCAGTCCGTAAGGAGGGCCCGTGACTGGCACCCACTGGGTGGACCAGGGCCTTGCAGTTTCCTTTCCAGTTGAACCAGGCACAGATCGCAGAGTAGGCAACGACAGGGACGCGTGGGGGGCCCGCAGGAACCCGTTTCTGCGCGGATCCCATCGCTCTGCCCTTTCCCTGGGCTGTCCCCGCCCCTAGCCCCTCATCAGGGCGCTCATTTCCAGGGTTCTGGCCTTGCCCTCAGCTTGTGCTGTGTCCTGGAGTGACGGTCGTCATCACCTGCATCGTCAAGGCTGTCTCTCCCCTTCTCGGCATCCTCTGCACAATGACCACCTGGGTGGACCCCAGGGAGTGGCCCCGTTCCCAGGAAGACCCCACAGCCCCTCCCCCTCCTGACTCTCAGCACCTGGGTCCCGGCCAGCGGCCCCTGCACCCACCTGCACCCGAGGGACAGAGCAGAAGTTTGTGAACGCACCCCTCTGGCAGAACAATACACGGCGCCGAAGCTCAGACCGGCTGCAGCTCAGGAGGTTCGGTTTCACTGTCCAACCAGCTCAGGCCCGTGTCTGTCGGATGTACCGACGTCTCACACGACCCTCGGGTGGAAGGTGCACAGATTTCTAACCAGCACGGTAACAGAAGCTGCTCCCTCACTTCCATCTGCACTGCATTATGAAAATCCAGTATTAGGTCAACTAACACTTTTAAGGTGTTTTCACTTTTGTGCATAAAACATCAAATCATACGCTATTATGCGAAGGATATGGATCCATGTTTTAAGTGGAAATACCCTGTATTCAACTAACTCATCCAAAGAAAATCCTCAATCACTCTATGTCCAGGTATCCACCGAAGTGCGGGAAGTAATATTTCTGGGGAGCTTTTGCACACGAAGACCCCACCACGGACCAGTGAGTCACCGTGGAGCCTCCACGTGCTGCCAGACCGAGCAGGCCCGTGGAGGGCCTCAATGACAGAGCGTCCCCTCCAGACGGTCCACCTTCCTCTCACTCTGAGCCAGAGCAGTTCCTCATAAATATTTAACTTAAACTGAAAAGCAGAAAGATCAACCTGTCATGGTCACACCAGGAAATTAAGCTCAAATCCTATGGTGACAGCCTCCATTTTAATTAATGTTCTACTGTTCACAAGTGTATTAATTCTTAAAGATGGCTTTACATTATTAGGTATTTTACAATTACACTGAAAACAACGTAGCCCGTATTCCCGAAAGTGTGCAGCTTCAGCTAATTTCTGACAAAGGAAATCACACAGTCCGCAGGGCACTGCTTCTTCGGCACACAACTCTGGTTATCTGGCTGCAGCTGGCAGGACTCAGGATGCTGAGGCATCTTCATAGAGGACTTCGTCTACCTTCACGTCATGTCCGTCCACTGGGACCTGCAGGCAGATCTGCTCCTTGAAAGCCAAGGCCATGGTGTAGGGCTTCGTGTGCTGCTGCGCACAGCGCTTCAGGTACGTGTCGTAGTAGCCCTTGCCCCGTCCTAGCCGGTTGCCTTGCTTGTCGAACCCAAGACCCGGCATGATGATGAGGTCCAGTCCCCCTGTGGAGCAGAGGAACACAGGCACAAAGGTGAATGGTTTCTGAAAGAGACTGGCCACTCTCAAATCTGGCTCTCGCTTTTAATGACATCTATTCCTCCTCTGAATTCTAAGACAACGCATGCCAGTCTGGGAAATCCAAAAAGCACAGGGTATGGCCAAGAAAAAAATAAAAATGATTTGCTACTCAGTAAGCCAATCACCTGCCTCTCCACTTCTCCATGGAAATATGTACAAAAACGTCAGATTCTAGCCCAACCACACCTAGCTCAAGAGGTGCTCCAGGGACAGAACCTAAAAAACTTATTTCTTCCTTTCTTTAAGTGTCCAGGTGCCTCTACACACCTGCCAGGCCGGGGCTCCTGGGCCCTAGGACCATGACAACTGGAGGAGTGGAAAAGGGTCAGGAAGCAGCCAGATGGGCCAGAGTTTTCCCTCAGGCAGCGGGAACAGGGGCAGCTTGTGAGGGGATGGAGCCAACTGCTTTCACTTTCCTTCCCCCTGGTGAGGCGAGGCCAGGCTGTCACATGAGGGCGGGCTTTGCTCTACTCAGGGACATTCCAAAAGTACAAGGTTGAGGCCCCATAACTGGTCCTCTACTGGATGCCCTCAGGGGACCCAGGGACCAGAACTGGCCATGGCATCATCAGGACCCAGCAGGCTGCTGGGGTGAGGCAGAAGGGTGTGTTTTGGAAGCTGTAAAACCCTGACCTACGAGAGGTGTGGGGGTGTCACATGACGAGAGCAATGAAGGTCACGAGGTGGAGATTCTCTGTGGATGTGGGAGGCCCTGAAAATGGTCCCCGAGCCTCTGGCAGGCAGCATGACAGAACTCAAGTTCCACGTCACATATCCAACCCAGGGCCTGCCGTCCGGCCTCCGTGCTGGGCTTTGGCCTCCTAGAGGCCGTCCTGGACGCACCATTCCTGCAGCGTGGCTGGCAAGGACACGCAGGCTGGAAGCCACGGAGTCTGTTCCAAGCAGAGCGCCCCTGCTCGCAGCAGCGGCTCCAACTGCCCGCAGAGCTGTGAGGGAACTCACCTTCTCTCCGGCTCCCAGCACACACTTGTCCACCCCTGCCTGCTAAAGCCAAGCAGAGTGCATCCCAGGTCACAGTCATGACCTTCTCATGTAAACCTGCCATCTGTTCCAATCCCATCTTGCCAAAAGGCCCTGGTCACCGGCCTTTCCCTTTCCTCAATGTCCCTGTCCTGCTCATCTTTCTCCCTTGGGACGAACAGTGGCTGTGCACTCAAGACTCTGCTCCCTCCTCATCCTCTTTCTGCTGCAGAGCACACACAGGCCAACAGTGCAGCTCCAACCTTTTCTCAGGCTTCTTGCCTCCTTAGAATGTGGCAGGTGGTTTGCAAGGTCCTGGAGAGGAGAGGTGTTGAAGGTCGGTGAACATAAAATATGCATGTGTCGTATCCGTCTCAAAGGCAGGCAGCAGGCTCTGCCAATTTCTCAAAAGCAAGAGTCAAGAAGAACTAGAGATGTCAGCAGAGGGAGAGCCATTCTGGCTAGGTGGTCAGGGAGGACTCGTGCAGAATTCTGACTTGACCTGGGTTGTTAAGGATGTGTCTAAGTTGGGTCTGAGCACATTTTAGAAACCGAGAGAACGGTGGGAGGGGCAGGCTGGTGAGACAGGAACAGGAGGGCAGAGGGTGAGGCTGAGGAGTGGTGGGAAATGTGAGTTCCTCAGACAGGCGGATAGAGGTTTGAGAGGTCAAGTCAGAGAGACCCCTACAACTAGCTCAAGAGCAAAAAAACCCCAAATAACCCAATTTAAAAGATGGACAAAGTGAACAGACATTTCTCCAAAAAAGACCAAAAACAATGTCCATGACAAGATGCTCAATGTCAGCAATCATCAGGAAAATATAAATCATTACCTCAATGAGTTATCACCTCACACCTATTAGGATATACATTAAAAAAAAAAAAAAAGGCTTCTTGTTTACATATATATAAGACAAATGTTGGTGAGGATATGGAGAACCCGGAACCCTTGTGCATTGTCCCTTGAACATAAAAAGGTGCAGTCACTACGGAAAACACTGTGGAGATACCTCAAAAAATCAGGAACACAATCACAAACAATCCCACTTCTGTGTATTTATCCAGAACTGAAGCTGGGGTCCTGAAGAGACACCTGCACAGCTGTGTTCACAGCACACTGCTCACAATGGCCAAGCGGTGGAAACAACCTAATGTCCACCAACAGAACAAATGAACGAACAGAATGTGGTGCACATGGCGGAATATTATTCGGCCATGAAAAACAAAGTCCTGCCACATGTCACAACACAAGGAAGCGTGAGCACACCAGGCCGAGTGGAACAGGCCAGCTACAGAGGGACAAATGCCACACGACCTCACTTATGCGAGGAATCCACAGCAGCCAAACTCAGAGGGTGGAACGGGAGTTGTGAGGGGCTGGGAGGAAGCGATAGAAAGCTGCTGCCCACCCGGCGTGAGCCGTCAATTGTGCAAGATGAAAAGGGACAGGAGCGATCTGCTGTACTCTCCGTGTCTACAGCCAACACCGCTGTGCTCAGCCACTAACTCTGACGTACACGGGTGTGGATCGTGAGGCAACACTGCGGGATAAGAGAACGACAGAAAGACTACCTTGCACAGCTGCCTGTTCTGAGTGATCTCTGCGACTGTTAGGCAAGAGCAGCAGCGTTGAGATTTTCAGGTGATGGACAAAAGGCTCTGAAGTGGCCCTTCACAGGCAAGAGTCCTGACACCCTACTTTGGGCATTGCTCTGGGACCCCAATGCATAGGACTACTACTGCTGCTGCCCCTGGCTTCAGGTCCTTAGGATCCCTTCTGAGTTCTGCTTCTGCTATTTGGAGACATCAGGTGTTTTCCTGAAACTTGTACTATATTCCTTACAGACTTCATCCATCCGCTGTCACCCTTGAAGTTCTTTCCGTGTCACCACCATCACCACACACGTCACCCCTCCCCAAGGCGCACACGCCTGGGCTCTGCACACTGCCTAACACTGTGCTGGATGCCTGCCCTCCCTGAAGACGATGGGCCACCAGGCCCTGCAATCACGCACAGGCTTGACAAGCCCCCCTGCACATGCTGGTCCCACCCTGGCCCGCCCCCACTAACAGAGGCTGACCCAAGACCCCTCGAAACACACTGTAAAGTCAAAACTCACCTGAGGGACAGGAGAAAAACCCCGGGCCACAGATGGTCTTTTTAAGCCTCTAGCACAGCTCCATTTTCAGACCACCACAGGCTCCCTGAGAGAGGACATGGACGCTAGCACTACAGGTGAGAGGAGCCCGCTCAACATGGTTCAATCCTGGGTGCCCCTGCCAGGAGCCCCAGCTGCATGGGGACTGCAGCTCCAAGTCCTGGAAATGCTCTCTGAGAGGCCCAGGCTGTTCTGCAGAGTCACGGTTTGCTGGGTGCCTTTCCTCAGGTTTTGCTGGCTTTCCAGCATGATTCTGCATTTCAAACCTGCCAAGCTAACCTTCCGAAAACTCAGGTAGCCTCACATACTGCTTGCTCCAACATGTGGCCTTTACATCTGGCACTGGCTCTGGAATGCCAGTGCCCTCTGGTGGCCACCCAGCGTGGTGGGCAGGGCCTTGAGGCCATGTCTGCAGGTAGCCACCCTCCAGCTATCCTTCCTGTGCGTCTTCCACCTCCTCAGGGGCCAAGAAGCAGCCACACACAGTACCTACCTCACAAGCCTGGTCCTGAAAAAAAGTCTGTGACCTCTCCTGCACAGGGCTCAGATTACGCCTTTTATGATCACACGCGGCCCACAGATGCAGTTTCAGGACAGTGGAAACCATGTTAAAAGGTGACAGAACAAGTGCAGCAAGGACAGGAGACTAAAGGGAATCGCTGGGGTAAGGATAATTCAAGTGGGGAGATGGAGACAAATCTGAGATGTAGAATTGGCTCTGGGAGAAACAAAAGGAAACACAGGAACTAGGTCCTGGAAGAAAATGAAGAGGGCCTGTAAATGTTTTATTTGCTCCTGAGACAAAGCGCTACACTTGGCACCGAGGACTCAGTTCGCTCCATAAAGCACCCTTCTTTTAAACCCTAGCCGAGGCAGCAGCCGCTGGGCCCAAGCACCTCCTAGGAAGCCCGAGACTCAAGATTCCCGACCTGGGCTCTCAAGAACAGGATCAGGCCAGCCACAGACCACCTGCCCCGCACTGGCGAGGAGCTGGAAAGGGAGAGCCCAGCGCGGGCGGGGCTCTAACCCGCACACTGCCACCATGTGCTGCTCACAGACGTCCACTCCCTTCTCCTTCCTCCTCTTTCCCACTCAGGGTGTGTGGCTGCGTCCCCCCCAGTCTGCTCTCCAGGAACTTCATGACCCAGCGCCTGCTCCCCAAGGAGCCCTCTGCACCACTGCCGGAATTCTCGTCTCCACCTGTCACTCTGAACACGCCCTTCGTCCTCAAGTCCGACTGGTTTGCCTCCCACCAGGCACTGCTGGTCTCAACTGATCCTGAAGTGCACCTCCGTCATGATGCCCCTCGCTCACAATCTCTTAGAAAGAGAGCATCCAAATTCCTCAACTGGTTGCGCAGGACCAACACCACCGTGCCCCGATCACCTCCCCAACACTGCCTCACAGCACATCAGGTGGCCCCAGTTAAACGGAGTCACTGTGCCACACCGACCCAGGATTTCCTGCCTGCACGTCCTGGCTCCTGCTGCGCTCCTCTCCAAGCCTGTGAGGTCCTTCTAACCCCTTAGTTAACTTGTCTGACCCCAAGGCACAGTGTAACCACCTCAGACGAACTTCCACCTCATTCTCCCTGCACGTGCAATCTGCTGTGAGCAGCTCTCGTGGGGTCCTGAAAGTCCACCACCCACCGAAGAGGAGGAATCCTTTCCCCTGCCTTTTGGGAACAGAGCTGTGCTCACTCCCCTGAGAGAGACTGAGCTCAGTCTAGTTAGTATAAAAGGAGGAACGACAGTGGGAACAACATGTCTCTTGACCAAACTCATCTTCGTTTCCTGACTACACCCACAGTTACCTGTTCAGACCATCCCCTGTGACACTCCACGCTTATCCCAAGTCCAGCTTCTGCAAGGGGGAGCACAGAAGCTGGCCTCGGCGGGCGCCTGCACTGTGCCAGGTGCAGCACTGTACCCTGGGACAGAAGGGTGACTAGGAGCAGCTGCTCAGCACATCAGACAGACTGGGTGAGTCTGGAGGCCGGGGTTTCATCCCCATTTCACGGATGGGGAAACTGATGTCAGCGCCCAGACAAGTTAAATTAGTCTGTAAGGACACTCAGCTCCTAAGAGACAAGCCAAGAGCTTGCTGCCCAGGTGGATGATGACGCAACAGCACACACTGCTCCTATGGCTAAAAGGTGCAAGTGGGACCAGGCAAGGCGGTGGAGGGAAGGTGACAGGGCAAGTGTGCTTGGGAAGAAGCGGGGGAGGGGCTGAGTGTGCCGGCTTCCAGACAGGCTGTGGGAGGCTGAAGACCAGCACCACCACTGATCAGCTAGGGAGCATCCCTCGGAGGTGCCTCCCCCTACAATCTACGATGGCTAAGCACACTGTGATGTGAAGAGTCTCTAAGCTATTAACATCAAATGTCAACTTAATCAATTGCTGCACGCACACTCCTTGGGCCATGCGGCTGATTACAGACACAGGTCCTTCCATCAAACCTGGCCTGAAATACAAAGAAGCTGAAATCCTGAGGTAAAGCACAGAACCAATAATTCATGATATCTCCGGTGGCAGAACTCTCAAAAGTCAATACCGCGTGCTTTAAACTCACAACGGCCTCCGAAAGGACAGACTGAAGCACGACCTCCTTGAATCACTCCTCATAGTAAAATGGTGCACACCACAGAAGGTGAACAGAACCATTTATGTGATTACTGTCATAAAATACATTCGACTTCTGATTACCTATGAAATCGGGTTTTTAAAAAATGTATGTCCCTGTAAATCCATAATGATCTTAAGCAGTATTCAACTAAACCACCTAACGTAGACAGCTAATTTAAAAAAAAAAAAAAGGTATTATAGATGCACCTTCACACTGTTTGGCTGCATCATGTTTTTGCTGTTCGGCAATCTCCACGCAGAATCAGACACACTGCAGTAAGACCAGCTATTACAGACACAGCTGCTGGTTCTGGCTGGGTGCTCAGCTGGTTATAGCAGTGTCCCCATAAGGTTGTAGGTTCAAACCCCGGTTAGGGCACAGACAAGAATCAACCAATGACTGCATCAAAATGTGGAACAACAAATCTGTGTTTTTTCTTTCTCTCCCACCAACACTCTAAATCAGTAAATGGACCACTAGTAGCAGTTTTACTCTAACAGCCTTTTCTAGATGTTACATTTGTTTTGGGTTGGAGCTTGGGATACGTTCACTGTTACTGATAATCAACTGACCTTAGAACTGAAAAGAAACTCCAAAACTTCCTATGGTTTCTCACTAACTTTGGGCAACCTCTGGCTGTCCAATCTGTAATATGAGTGGATGGCACTCTTCAATTTCTCAACTTTAGAATCAAAACTTAGCAATTCTGGGAACCTTAAGGACAATTCCTTGTAGTGTATTGTAGCACAATCAATCAACAAATTAAGCCAGTCACAAAATGACAAGTACTGCATGATTCTACCTATATGAAATACCCAAAACAGTGAAATTCACAGAGCCAGCGAGCAGCATGGGGGCTGCCAGGGCTGGGGTAGGGGAGGTGGGGAGGAGCTACTGGGGGCAGAGGGCCAGGGCTGCCATAGGAGAAGGCCTGGAGACTGGTTTCACAGCAATGGGAACACCCGCACCACCACTGAACCGTTCACTTAAAGATGGTTAAGATGGTAAAGTTTATTTATGTTATGTGTTTTTTACAACTAAAAAAACAAAGGGAAGTAAGAACTTAGGTGCTGGAGTGAAGTCAGATGCATCTGTAGGCAGCCCCACTGCATAGCCCAGGTCATGTGGTGTGTACTTAAGAAGGAAAAGAAATGCCTGGTTCACTCCTGAGGGTGGTGAGGAACGGCTTCCTCAGACCCAGAAACAAGTGGGTGCTGCTGGAGCTATTTCTCTTTTTCTCACTGTGGGAGACGGGCTCTCAAAGTCACTACGGTAAATAACTGCTGCGAGGCACGCTTCCTGAGCCTAACAGCTTGGTGAAGTGGAAGCCTTTCCCTGGCTCCCACAATTTGTTTTACCAAGGCTGGTTAAATGAGCATTGGAAAGTACTGCAGACTTTCTGGTTCAGTGCATTTACCTAAAATAAAACTACACAGCACGTTGTATTTCTTCTGCTTGCTGTCGTCTTCTACCCTAGTAAGACGCGTCGCTTGGCCCCTATGAGCCTGTGCCGTCTAGAACACATTCCATTACTGTCAGCCTGAGATAAAGTAACCTATTATTGTGAAGTGATAGTACCTGGTTTTTATATAATGGCCTGTACTAGTACGTTCCCAGTGCTTTTTCGCTTCCACTACCCTTATCTGCTTCGTTAAGTCTTCTACTAGGGGACAAACTTGCTCTTGAAACCCTTAATGTTTCATAAAACCTGCTTGAGTACCTTGATAGGAAGAAGCAGAAAAAAAATCCTGAAGATTTACAGCTCAATAAAAATGCAATGGAATCAAATTAATAAACACCCATTACTAACAACTCACCATATGGAAGGCCCTGTCTGAAGAACCAGAGAGGACACAGAGATAACTAAGCACTCACACTCTAGGATGTAACAACCTGAGCAGATACTCCCGACAGGTTGTATGTATACAAACAAGTGACAAGGTGAGAAGCTGAATGAGGTAAGGAACCGCTGCACCCCACTGAGATAGGGTAGCCTGGGAAACCTCACCGAGGAGTCGGCCTACTGAGCCCACCATGAAACAACAAGCAGGGTGCTGAAGGGTCAGCACAGAGAGGCAGGGAGAGAGGATGGGGATTGAAAACAGGGCCGGCACAGGCAGAGACTTGGGAAAGCACAGTGGGGTTCTGGGCCCGTGACTGTTGGTGACGGCTGGTATGAAGTAGGGGGCATTACATCAAAGATCACTTTTATATCCAATAATTATACATTCTGGTAACAAAAGCCAGCTATTTTTAGTTTCTGTTACCCAATTATTATAATCCAAGACTCTAACATCTCATTCATAAACAATGTTTAAACATCTGTCTACCCAAACAAACTGAGCAACACCGCTTCCCTTCGTCCAAATGTGACTTCCACAATGGACTCTGCGCTTTCTCTTCCCTTCGACACTGGGGAGGGCCCTTTACTAGAGGGGGGCTTCAGAACCACCGCCCAGGTTTCAGCCTTACTCTGTGACTGCTGTGACTTTGGACAACTCATTCCCCATCCAGGCCTGCTTCCTCATCGGCAGAATGAAAGGACTGACTTGGATGATCTACAGAATCCCCCGTATGACAATTAAATGTCTCTTGGATATATAAAGGCAGGACACTGCAGACAAAACCACCAGTTCAGAGTAACACATTTGTAAAACGCTGACATCTGCTGGACACTGGGAAAACTGCTCGGCCTATCCAAAAGGCAGCATCCTTTATAAACCTAGTTTTGGGCACTTACTCTGAAACCCGTTACTGAAGATGCAAATTTCTTATGAAATTGGGTTTTCTAAAATTTGATTCTATACAACCTAAGAAAATTTTGAAAAAAATTAACTTTAAAGTTACTTCAGGGATGCCTGATGCCACTTGGAAATTTGTGCCTACTATGCTCCTATGCTTTCCTATTATCACAAAAATAACCAGTGTTGAAAATATAATGGAAAAAGATTCCATTCACAATCAGCGACAACAAATACTATTAATTAACTGGGAATATACTTAACAAAAAACGTGCAGAAGCCACACGATTAAAAGCACGACCAACAGAAGAACACACAGGAAGTACTGAACTGCTGGGCACAGGGCTGCACTCCTGGAGCGGAGCAGACCACCTGTCACAGAGAAGTCCCTTCTCCCAAACCCAGATCTTTAGAGGATCTGGGGCGCAAAACTGACAAAATAACGTTAATCTCAAAAGTGAACGTAAGGATAATCAGCTAAATTTTTAAAATAAAAATAATGGGACAGGACTTCTACTACCAAGCACTGAAGCATTCAAGTGCATTCAACAGTCACTATACGACATCAATCAAAATAGTACGGCACAGGTTCCAGAACAGGCAAGCAGATCAATGGGAAAGACTAATCCAGAAACAGACCTTTGAAATAACTGAGTGCACAAAAATGGCGGCACACTTTAAATAGGCAACACCATGTTAACTACCACCGCAGCACTGTGCATTTCACTCCTATTACAGACCGAGAGTAAAACAAACTTCCCAGGGGCAAAGTTCTCCCCAGCAGCTGCCTGCAACAATCACTTGCTCTCTGATTCCCTCACTTGAATGCATCTCTAATCGACCAAAAATAAGCCAGCAGCTTTCAACTCTGCCCTTCTTTCTCTATCTGGGCCTGAATATCAACCACATAATCTCTAACAGGGCCCATCAGAAGTACCAATATACAGCAAACCTAAACTTCTTTCAGATGAGGGAGGAGAGAAAAATCACTGCAATTTGAAGGTTTAGATGTTAGAAACAGGAACACCTTTTTGCCTTCTTTGCAGTTACTATTAATCATTCATTCAACATACAATTATTAGACTTGTACTTCAAAAAAGATATTGAAGCTAAAGAAAAAGTGGACACCTCCATGCTCACTTCAGCAGCACATACACTAAACTGGAATGATACACACATTAGCATGGCCCCTGAGCAAGCATGACGTGCAAATTCTTGAAATGTTCCATATTTTAAACCTCATCAAAATGAAAAGGGATCCAACCATATGGAAAACCATATTTACAATGATACCTCGGACAAGGGTTTGATCTCCCAAACATATGTAAAGAACTCATATGATTCAACAGCAGAAAGACAAACAATCCAATTAAAAAATGGGCAAAGGACCTGGACAGACACTTCTCCAAGGAGGACATACAGAGGGCCCAGAGACATATGAAAGAATGTTCAGCATCACTAGCCATCAGAGGATACAAATTAAAATCTCAAAGAGATGCCACTGCACACCAGTCAGAATGTCCATCATAACCAAATCAACAAACAACAAGTGTTGGAAAGGCTGTGGAGAAAAGAGAATCCTAGTGCACTGCAGACCGATGCAGCCACTGACTGTGGAAAACAGTAGGGCATTTCCCCAGAAAATTAAAGATAAAACTGCCTTTTGACCCAGCAATTCCACTGCTGGGATTATACCCTAAGAATCCTGAAACACAAAATCTAAAGAACCTATGCACCCCAATGTTCACAGCAGCACAATTAAAATAGTCAAGTGTTGGGAACAACCCAAGTGTCCTTCAGTAAATGAATGGATCAAAAAACTTGGTATTTTTACACAGTGGAATACTAAGCAGCAGAAAGAAAGGAGGAGCTCCTACCCTTTATGACAGCATGGATGGATCTGGAAAGCATTATGCTAAGTGAAAGAAGCCAGGTGGGGAAAGAAAAATACCATATGATCTCACCTGTAAGTGGAACCTAATGAAGAGAACAAACAAGCAAAATACAGCCAGAGGCAGGGTAACAAGGAACAGACTGACAGTGACCAGAGGGCAGGGGGTAAGGAGTTAAAGATGGAAAGAAGGGAAAGGGACTAGTCAAGAAATGTGTATGAATAACCCATGGACAAGGACAACAGGGTGTGGGCTGACGGTGGGAGTGGGGGGTGGGGTGGGGGGAGGAGAACAAAGGGAAAAACTGGGACCACTGTAATAGAATATTTAATAAAAAAACGAAAAAGGTGATACCTCAAATCCACTGGGGTACTGTGCTGAGCCCAAACACCACAAAGGAAACGCCTGAAGAATATTTTTGTTTCTCCAGGGGCAGGAGGGCTGCCAGGTGAAAGCTACAATAAGGCACATAGAGAATAATTTTCTGACCTTTATAGAATGGTCTAAAATGGAACGGGCTTTCCCGTTAAGTTGTGGGCTCTTGATCCCTGTATTCAAGTAAAAACAGAGAAACACTTTGAAATTACATGCATGGGATGCAGTAGAGCTAGTCCACTTACATGAAGCATACTGAGGTGTCCCAGCATGGGTAGAAATACGGAGGAAGAAGGGCCCAAATCCCAGGAGGCTGCAGCACATAAGCTGAGACAAGGAAGGTGAAGACCCCAACAGGCAGACAAGCACGATGCACATTCGGTAGGACGGAACCAGAGAACAGAGGAACAGAGGCCAAGAGACCTTCCCCCAAAAAGGAAACACACACACACACCCCCCCTCTTCCCTGACTCTGGCTACAGAACATGGACTTGTTTTCTAGGCTGCAAAGACAAAGCTGTCACGTAGTGGAGGAACACAATCCAGCTGCGTGTTAAGGTCACTCTGGCAGGAACATGAAACTGAGAAAGCAAGCGTTCGGAGAAGGTGGCGAGTTGGGCATTCACTGAAATGACGTAAGACAGAGAGCACAACCCTGCCATGTGCCAAAATCACTGGGGGCAAAGGTGCAATTTCACTTCCTGGTGCAGCTCCCTTGGAATCACCTCTTGTCCTCATTTTTCAATGGAGAATACTTTCTAACTTACTTTTCTGGAAAGAAGAAAATGTTGTAATTCATCAAAAGAAATATCCCAGTCTTGTGGCCTGTCAAGATGCTACAATAAAGAATTTTAAAGGGATGTTTTCACTGATGAAAACATTCACAGAAATGCATCCTCTTGGCTCTTGCCCATAGAACAGGAAAAAAAAAAAAAAAAAGAAGCGCTACATCCAGTCTTGGGGTGAGGAGTCCCCTAGGCCTGCTGCAGGACTGTCCCACTGTTCCTTGGGGGCAGAGGAGATGTGGAGGGGCACAGAGAGATGAAGAGGGGGATGGAGGGAAGAAAAGGGGTGGAGGAGGCAGAAGAGGTTAAAGGGGGGATAAATGGTGATGGAAGGAGACTTGGGGTAGTGAACATAATATATAGATGCTGTGCTGCATAGAACTATATACATCTGAAACCTATATAATTTTATTAACCAGGCACCTCCAAAAATTCAATAAACTTTTAGAAACAGAGGAGTCAGGAGGAGTCAGGGTTGAGAAGCACATTCACATAAACCCATGATGACATTTTTATACACACAGGTTTTCACCAGTCTAGCTTGAGATTTAAGGGTCAGAATTAAACTAAAAACAACTTTTTTTTCCTATTTCAAACGCCTCTTAAAATTAAAAATTCTGCTTCTTCTCTGAATTGAACATATATGGAAACATACATAAAACTAATAGACATCTTAATGTCTCAACTAAAGGTAATGAAATAAAAACTGAATTGGAAAAGGAGTTTAAATACCTGAAATTTTGTGTGTAGGGACTTGAAGTCACCCGGGTTAGTTCCTTTAACGATGCTTCAGGGTCCAACAGTGCACTCAATGCATCACTCTGCTTGAACAGAACGTTTAGCAGGCTGACCCATCTTGGCAAGAGTAACAGGCCATAACCCCTAAGGAAGTATCTTTTCATCTTAATGGGAGTTAACAAAAAGTAAATTACCGCTCTGTGAAATGAGAATATATTCTAAATTTGCTGCTGCAAAAAATAAAATAGACAATCCTGGAAGAGCTCCAAGGAAGCCTATAAGTGCACTTACAAGTCAAATGAAGGCCCTGACATAAAGGAAAAGCCTTGGCTCTTCTCCCTGTGTATTTACTTGAATAAAAAATACCTGGGGGAAAAAAAGTAAGGTTATGACCAGTGTACCTTTACATACACCTGACTTAGTGCAAGTTCTTCCTTGGGAAAGTTACTGGCTTTCCCACGAATGCCATCGCCAAGGGTACCTGTTCCATGAGTAATGGTTCTCATGCAGAACGCTGTCAGGAGAGAGGCAGAAAGTACATGTGATAGAGCAATCTTAATGAAGGAGATGTTATGAAAAGAAACGGTGCTTCAAAAGGCACTGGAGTGGAAAACAGGAGAAGTGGGTGCCCATGGCCATGTGAACTGCCTCTGTGTCCTTGGAGAAGTCCCTTGAACTCCCTGGGCTTCAATGATCCCATGTGAAAACAGGGCAGATGAAGTGAGGCCTGTGAGAGTCTGCTGTGCCTCCGTCAGCACCTGACTCTGGGGGAGGCACTGTGCAGCCCAGAACTGCCACACTGGCAGATGAAGTGCGCAAAAGCACATTTTAGGTTGCAAGGGTGGTTCCGAGTCAGGTGATGGCTACCTTTTACCTAGCCCTACTGAGTAGGGTGTAGGCACCAGAGGCTCCCGGCCCGCTATTTTTCTCGCTGGCTTTCAGCGGGCGGAGCAGCATGGGCCTACCGCCGTCCACCATCCAGTTTAGCGCAAAATTGCAACTGCTTTGATTTATTTTTAATTTTGATTATTTATTTATTTTGGGAATGAAAACAAAATGAGTGAAGGTGATTTTTTTGCGAAGCAAAAGAGACATGTTAAAGGCTTAGAAACTCCTCTTGTAGTCAGAGCACGCGCTATTGCTATGAAGCATACTGAAATATCAAACCTGGGAGGATCTTGTGATTGGTTATTTTTTGGCATAGTAAAAACTAAACAAAGAAACAAACTTACCACAACACTCTGATAGTCATTTTGACAATCAAGTGGGTCAGAGGTGTAACAACTCATCACAGTCGGACACCACCCTAAGATGTCAACTCTAACACCACATGCTCACCTGTTATCAAGGCCTCCTCTCGAACCTCACCCTCACCAGGCTGATGAATATTCCAGGATGTTTTGGGAAGTGAAGAAATTTCCTCGGGCGATGCTAATTTGACCATATCCATGTGACTGCTCTGGAACTGGTACCGTGGGATAAAGCAGGTTTTCCCTTGCTGGAAAATGTCCTTGATGATCTCTTCTGTCTCAATTTCATCCTGCATGCTCAGAAAGATGGAGATCCTTTTGGACTTCTGATACTGACTGTGGGCAATCACCTAAATGGAAAAGGACAGCAGTTATATTTTCCAAGATTATACTCTTAACAATCAGAGACTCCCTTTAACAGTTTTAACATTTTCTCCCTTCTTTATCAGCCTTCAACTCCCTTAGCTGTCCAAAAACAAAAACCAAAAACAGCAGAGTGCTTCAGTGGATCAGTGCTGCATCCTGAACACAAAACTTTTGGTTCTGTACCCCACACTTCTCTGATCCCTTTACATAGGTCAGGCACACCTACTTTTGTAGGTGTGAAAACTCATTGTAAAGCTACTGTGTGGTCCTGCTGGCTGTTTAGAGAATTCCAAGCTTGACCTCCATCTATCTACTCATTCTTTTCGCTCACTTCTCCTAGTTATTATTTTTATTACTTTAACTCTGAACCTTGGCTCCCACAAGCTCCTTCACTCTTTGGATTGTCAGGATTCTCTCCTGAATTCTACCCACTTAAACCCAGCTCAAGCGCTACTTTTCCTGACTTCTGCCGACCCTTACATTTACAGTTACTATACGTAACTCAACACTTATGTAGTGTTGGGAGTTGATGACAAATTGTTTCATGTGCCCTCAATGTGCTACTCTAATCAGTCTGGAAGCTCCCAGGAGGCAGAGAACATGCCTTACAATTCTCTTATCTTGACTCAACCTCCATCCTCTTTTCTAACCTTCTCTTCATGTGCATATTAAAAGGTTCACAAAGATGTGGGTGGGGGTTCTTGGAGAAACAAAGTTCCTCTAAAAATAAGTACCAAGTTTATGAGAAAGTAGACATGGGTGAGAGAATTCTCTTCATATTCATCAGGTTTAATGGTTCATCAGGTAGGAGAAGGAGGCCTCACTTTGCTTAACAAAGAAAGTTAACAATCTGAGAACTTCCCCACACTCAGCCTTAGCTCTCAGCTCCCCTTTTTCCCCTTTCCTTTTCTGTTCTCCCTTGTTCTGGAAGCTAAGAAGAAAAAGATACCACAAAAGTGGCTTATAAATGTGACTGGCCAATTCAGAAGAATCAATCTTTCCTAATAAAAAGGGACATATAGTAAATAGAGCACACCAAAACATTAAGGAAGAAAATTCATTCCATCATCTGAGAGGTTACTATGCTGTTAGGCCTAAAATAGGCAAAGCAAACATCAATGTGAAACCCCAGACCTTGGGTGGCAGATCTGGGACTTTTGGCACCCAAGTAACCTGAGAAAATTAAGTGTCTTTTTTTGGTGCTTTTAAAAGAAGAATATAGAAAATCAAGAGCTGAATAAGTAGTAATGAACATCGGTTAAAATTCAGTGTGAGACTGTGCATATATTTGCCTTTCTTCCATCCTTAAACCTCATTTATGTAGAGTAAAACAAGCATTTCAGCACTGAGAGCAGGAGCATAGAGATTTCACTGATTTACATAAGACAGAAAGTGGATGAGAGAGTATTTACAAACAAAGCCAGCAGCGGACCACAGCACGTGGAGAACACGATGGATGTAGGTCAGGCAGAATCCATTCCTCTCATGGAATCCCAAAATGAGTACAAAAGGCACAGGAAATCCCCATTAGCTATCGCTCTTCCATTGATAAATATGTACAGGCAGTAAAGGTTCATCCAACATCCTAGAAAGCCAATGCGCAAAATAAAACGATTAAAAAGGGTGGATGCCCTGGCCCGGTAACTCAGTTGGTTACAGTGCGGCCCTGATATGCCAAGGTTCTTGGTTTGATCTCTGAACCCCACTGGTCAGTGCACCTAAAAGAAACAACCAATGAATACATAAGTAGATAGAGCAACAAACCAATGTTTCTCTCTCTCTTTAAACCACAAAACAAGCTACTACAGGAAGCAGAGAATTAAAAAATATATTTGGAAATTAAAATTACAAAAATTAAAACAATTCAGGAGAAAGCCTGAAAGAACAAAACAAAGAAATGGGGAAAAAAAGAGAAAAAAATGTTGAAACCAAGATCAAGCTAGAATTTTTATTATTTAACAGGAATTGCAGAAAAGCAGAAAAAGTAGTAATCAAAAATATAATAACAAAGAAAAGTAATTTTAAACTTTAAATTCAAACTATCAGCTTTAACTGGTGTGGCTCAGAGGACTGAGTGCCGGCCTGAGAACCAAAGGGTCACCAGTTCAGTTCCGGGTCAGGACACAGGCCTGGGTTTTGGACCGGGTCCCCAGTAAGGGGCGCATGAGGCAACCACACGTTGATGTGTCTCTCCCTCTCTGCCTACCTTCCCCCCTCTTAAAAAAAAAACACTTAATCTTTTTAAGAAAAGAATTTGAAACTATCAAACAGGAAGGTATAAATATTTCCTAAGGTATAAAGTATCACCTGGTTTACCTTTCACTGTGCCATACACGTTAAACTAGTAATACTGTACGTCAACTGCAATTGAAAAGTATTTTCAGTTACTAAAAACGTGAAAAATGTTTACTTATTCACTGGACATCGATTTTTCTTTCCGGTGTCCAACCAAAGTCAGTCTGGTTCGTGCCCTCGGGGCAGCACAGGGCGCCATGTTTTCCGGACGGGAAAACCCACGAACCATAATGGCGGCCGCAAAGGTCACCAAGAGGAGGTTTCGAACCCACGGACGGGGAACCTCGTTCACGGCCCCCTCACCTTCCCCCTTCACCGGCAGCAGCAGGCTGAGAACCAAGTGTCTTTCAGCAACTCAGAAAGACACGCCCTGGTCACCCACTGCCCCACACGAAGCCGCGAGGCAGGCCCGAGACGGCCGCCATGCTCTCTCAGTCAGTCAGGGCGGTGGTCGCTCGCTGGCGCCTCCATGTCCTCACAGTCCTCGGCCTAAAGAACAGCGTTTCTCCGGTCTTTTCGGCTCCCTCTCCCGCTCTTGCTTCGCGACCTCCAACACTGACCGACGCCACCTCAGCTGAGGCCCCGGTGTCCACGTCCCAGCTCTCACCACCACCCCGGCGTCGCCCGGAAGTGGGAGTCACGCGCTCCGTCCCCTCACTAGCCCTGGCGTTCCCCCAGCAGCACCCGCGCAAAGACCTCGTGCTTACGAGAGTCCAGACACGCTCCAAGGGACGTCAACGTGCCGGACGGAACGTGCGTACGTCGAGGGGGCGGAGAAGTGCGACGGGGGTGGTGCGGTGAGACACTTGCGCACGCCTGGGGAAGTGCGGCGGGGGTGGGGGAAAAGCGCGCAACGGGGGCAAGTGAGCGCGTGGGAGACGTGCGCGCGGTGTGGGGAGTGCGCGCGCCGAGCCCTGCGTCTGCGCAGGTCCGCAAGCCCTCGCGGCGCGGCCGTGAGTCAGTTTAGCCCGCAGCCGTAACCGCCTCAGCGGTCGCCCACCTTCTGGGTCAGGAGGCGGGACTGGCGCAGCCGCTCCTCCGCGCTGATGGCCCGCAGGCGCTGCTTCAGCTCGGCCCGCAGGCTCCGCTTGGCGCCGCTCACGGCCGCCGCCGCCGCCGCCATGTCGGGTACCAGTCCCTCACGCCTACTCCGCGCCGCAGATCCCGCGGGTCGGAGAGGGCCCGGCGGCTTCCGGATTGCGGGCGCCCCGCCCCCGCCCCGCCCCGCCGGGCGACCGCCGCGGGCCACCCCTGCTCTCTACAGGCTGCGGGCCTCCGGTGTTTCAGGTGACGTTCAGTGATCGAAAGAAAGGGGGGGGGGAGTCCAATGGGTCAGGAGATTAAACTAAGATAACTGCAAGTTTAGAAAAAAAATGACTTTGTTTTATGTTAATCAACTTGTTTGAAGTTCTTACGGAGAACAAACATTCAAGAATAGCTAGGATAACACTGAAAACCGAAGGTCCGGGGAGGGCGGGGCGGGGGGCCGGAAAGTGGCCCTTGCAGACACTGACACAGAGTCTGAAGACTATGATTCACCCAGCGTGGCAGTGCCACTCGCACGCACAAATCGACAGTAGACACGGGCAACAACAGAAGTTTATCAGAATTGAAAACATGTGCATGAAAAGACTCCCAAGAAAATGAAAGGATTATCTAGAAAATGGGAGGAAATATTTGCAAATCGTACATTTGATAATCCAGAAGAGTATATAAAGAACTCTTGCAAGTCAGCAATTAAAAAAACAACCATAATCCAGCTTTACCAGGGCAGAGGTCTTGAGTAGACATTTTTCCATATAAGATGTACAAGTGGCCGATAAGCACGTGGAAAGATTTCAGCATTATTTGTCATTTAGGAGAATGCAAATCAAAACCACAAGGAGATACCACTTCACACCCACTAGTGCGGCTGTAATTTAAAAAAATAAAACAGAAAGGGACTAGTGAGGATGTGGAGAAACTGAAACCCTCACACCCATGAGAATTAAAATGCTACAACATGGATTGGCCTTCAAAATTGTACACTAAGTGAAAGAAGAAGCTAAACTTGAAAGGCCATATAGTCTATGACCCCACTGATAGGAAATTTCCAGAACAGGCAAATACAGAGACACAAAGGTTAGTGGTTGCCTTGGGCTGGAGACAAGAGGAATAAGGTCAAGGATTTCTTTTTAGGATGATGAAAATTCAGTTGCGGTGAGAGCTGTTCCACAGTGAATATGCTTAAACCACTGAACTGTACATTTTTAAAATTCTTATTCATTGATTTTGAGAGAGAGAGGAGGGCAGAGAAAGAAACATTGATTCGTTGTTCCACTTATCTGTGCTTTCATTGGTTGATTCTTGTAGGTGCCCTGACTGGGGATCAAATCCGCAACCTTGGCGCATCAGACAATGCTCCGACCAACTGAGCTACCCAGCCAGGGCTTTGAATTGTATGTTTTAAAAGGATGAATTCAGTGTGAATTATATTTCTATAAGGTAGGAGAGATAAAAGAAGATATAAATGTTTCTGCTCATTTCTAGAAGAAAGCAGTACACATGCACCAGAACCTAAGTTTAGGTACCTGTAGGGAATGGGTGAGGAAGGCTGGAAAGACTGCGGAGATGGGACGGAGTGGCAGTGAGGAAGAGCCAGCGACCTTTCTCTCATGGCTCTGGTTTGTACAGCTCTGACTCTCAGAGTCATGGCGATGTTACATATACATACATGTAACCAGGGTGTGGAGGTTAACCCAAAACAGACTGCAAGCAGGGACAAACAAGCTGTACTGTGTTGTAAATGATTAACATACCACTACCAAATGGGTGGGGAAGAAAACAACTTAAGTAACTTTGGAAAACAGTATTTTGACTAAAGGCCAAAGCCAGACACAAACAACTTGATATAACCATTGCATTCTAGTTGCATTTGTTTCTTGTAGGGTTATAAATTAGCAACTGACAAACTGCTTTATCTCTGTGACAGAATTGAACAAGTAAGTAAATATATTGTGGATAATGAGACTCAGTGTTTCTCCCTTTTGGAAAAATAACTTATAAATAAGGAAAGAGGAAGTTTGGATTGCACCCTGTGGCATTGTGTTGGAATTAAAAGTGTCTGTGTAAACTCGTAGTTTTAAATACACACACACACACACACACACACACAAATAGATGCATGAATTGTAGTGACCTCCAGTGTAAGTCAACTGGTGTTTATTTACCATCTGCCACAGCAGGCTCCCAGCTGGTCTCCCACCTATCCAAGTCTCCTGGTCACAGCACTGCCAAACCTCACCTGCGTAGGAGAAATGACAGCGAGTGTGTGTCCAGAAGAAAGGGAGACTGAGATGCAGGAGAGGGAGCGATAAGGGCCGAGGTCTAGTGCACCAGTATTAGGAGTTGACCTTAGACCAGCTGATTCACCGTAGCAGGAGGGAAGGAAGATGCACCGGCATTGGTGCAGGGTAGGTGGGTTAGCACGGCGTGTGGACCTGTACTGTGGAAGTTCGTGAACTGGGAAGCAAGGTCGGCGAGAGTGACATTGTCTCAATAGTGTTGCAAACATGTATAATGAACTCTTCCTGTGTACATGCTCCGTGGCTGCACAGACTTCTGTGATCAGCCTCCAGCTTGAGAGCAGTTTTAGAGAACCTGAGTCATGGGTTTGGTTCTCGTGGGAGCCACACGCAGGCAGTCCTAGCCCGAGGCTCTGCTCGACCATCCTGCCTCGGGTCAGAGGGCAGATGAATCAGAGTGCCGGCCCGCCTGCCCACCGGCACCAGAGGAGTGGCTGAGCCACCCCCTGCCCTCCCGCTGTGCCCCTCAGAGCACCTTCCAGTAGAAGTAGCCACACAGAGCTACTGTTTATAGAGAAAGGGTTAGTTTTATTTTTATGCAGGAATATATAAAGCAACTTTCCCCCTCTGGCAAAGGTTTCCAGGTCCCAAACAGGGGCGACCAATGGTAGGTTGGACAACACTACAGGGGAGACACAGGATGCTCACCTGGCAGCTGCAGGCCCACCGCACCCTGGGGAAACCCCTCTCACCCAGCTGACCTTGACCAGCAGTTTCCTCTTGTGAAGGGGGTGGGGAAGGAAGGACGCGGCGGGACTGGGAGGCACCGTGTGCTCAGGGGGAAGCATTGCAGGGAGAGAAGGCTCAGGGCAGTGAGGTCCAGCATGGGCTTGAGGGGCCATGTGACATGCCCACTGACTGCACGACCTTGGACAAGATTCGTCCTGCTCTGAAGCCTGTTTTCCTCAAGAGTACAATAGGGATGATGTCTACAAGTCCCTAGGAAAATCAGTGCAAACTCCGAGGGCAGGAGATTGTATGGTGGGAGGAGGAGGAAGAGTGGGAAGGTCTAGAACAAAGGACAGAGACCCCCGCTGCGGTCCAATTTGCTGACCTCAAAATTGGAACATGGTGTAACAGATGACAATTTTCTAATTTGTGACATATTCTAAAACGAAGGTTTACCTTGGCTGGTGTGGCTCAGTGGATTGAGCACCAGCCTGCAAAACAAACAGTCGCTGGTTCGATGCCCAGTCAGGGCACATTCCTGGGTTGCAGGCCAGGTCCCTAGTGGAGGCACAGGAGAGGCAACCACACATTGATGTTTCTCTCCCTCTTATTGTGTGCTGAGTATCTGGGTCCCAAATCCATCTGCTTCAAATGGCAGGCCATGGAGTGATGATGGGGGAGTCATCAAGGGAAAACCCTAGGCATCCAGGCACCCTGGGTGGGACAACAGGGCTCAGAGGGAGGTGGGAAGCCAGCCCACCCACTGTGCAATCCAGACCAGTGACAGAATGACTTCTGGGCCATGGGCTCAGCCTTAAGGAAGTCTGCAGGAGACACCACCTTCCTCTTACTCATGGCCTTCATCCAGTACCTGTCCCCATATCAAGCTTCCCCCTCAGCTGGACTCCCAGGCAGGACACTGGTCACACAGAGACACACATATATTAGATTTATTCATCACTGTGGAACATTGGGTTGCATCATGGAGGTTGGTTGTCCAGAAGCAGAAGAAAAGTGTCCGCAATTCTTCTTGCAAGAGTCCTGTTAAGTCTGTGTGTTTCACAATACGAGTGTCCTTTTCAGTTAGTAGTATTGCTTCAGGAGAGAGAACATTGTGCAGACCTTTCCTATAACGTCCAGAAAAGTCAGCCGATGAGATTTGGGTTCAAACTTCTTTATGAAGCCATTTTCCTATGAGAGAACAGATTGAACACTTTGAAAAATCAATGGAGACTTAAGTATGCTGGATTGGAAACAAACTTTTGTTTAAATAATGTAGGCAGTTAATCTGCGTGGTTTCCCTACTTTATCCTGTGCATCCTCATCATCTTTTTCTATCTCTAGTTCAGACCCTGAGCAGCACACCCAATGAGGACATACTATATTTTGCAGTGTATAATGTGCACTTTTCTGCTCAAGTTTTTGAGGGAAAAATAAGGATGTGCATTGCGCACAATGATTACGTGCTGCGGGTGTAATAATGGTGGTAATCCCGTGAACAGCGTGCACAAAAACGGGTGTGCATCATACACAGCAAAATATGGTAGTGTAAGATACATATGTAATTTAATTTTTCAGTGGCCACAATTTTAAAAGGAAAATAGAAATAGGCAAAATTGATTTTTGAAATATATTTATCTAAAATACTATGCTTTCAATATGTAATCAATATGAAAATTATTAATGAGGTGTCTGACATTTCTTTTGGTTTCAAATCTTTAAAATCCAACGTGTGTTCTGTACTTACAGCATATCTTCATTCAGACTAGCTGCCTGTTAACAGTTCAAATGTCCCAAGGGACAAGTGGCCACCATGCTGGACAGAAGCTCTAGGAGCTAGGAAGCCCCCTTTGCCCCCTCTTTCTCTTTCAGTTGTCAGCAGTGAAGTGTGCGTGCGTGCTTGGCGTGCGTGTAAACCGTGTTATGCTGAGCGCCGTGAGCACTCGCCGTGAAGGCAGATGGAGTCGAAGTCGGCACTTCGGAGCCAATGAGAAGTTTGTTGATTGTTTCTAGTACAGTTCGTTTTCTTTTTGATCATAGTTTTTAAAAAACAGAGTATGGATCGGACATTGTATTTAATTTATGGCTTACAATTATGGAGCATCCTCAGCAAAAACTACCTCTGACATCAGCCGGCTTTTGACAAGTGAGGAAACTGAGCCTGGGAAAAAGTAAGTTACCTAAAGCTACCCAACCTCTTAGTGCCTGGGCCTGCGCGGGAATGCAAACACTGTTCTTTTCACCCTGTCCATTTCCGAGCCACCAGCAGACAGATTAGAAAACTGGTAAAATAAAATGTTTAAATGTTCATCTAGTAAACATTTGCTCTGCATCCGGCAAGCTCCAGATTCTGGAGTTAGAGACTGCCTTCGTGTCTAGTGTGATGAACGCCAACAAGTAAAGCCCGCACATCTCTGAAAGCCAGCGGAGGCCTGAGGGCTCTGCGGGGTCTGGGAATCAGCTTTCTGAGCATCTCTGGCAGCAAAGGTCAACTCAAACCAGCCAGGGGAGTTTTGCATTTGAAAGGTGGCCCAGGAAGCCAGCTTCAGCCTGTTAGGTGTGGAGTCATCCTCTGAGACACACTGCCGCCCCAGGGAGGGAACAGTCTGCTCCTCCGCTCCTGTGCCTGCCCCTCCCTCTGGCACAAGGCCCGCAGGCTCTCAGCTCCCAGCCGCTCCCTCCCTGGGGTTTGCACAAGCCCCCACCAAGGAGGCACTCCACCGGGAATGCATGAGTGTGCCCGTGAGCACTGCCCGTTAGGATCTGGCATTTAGTAGGCATCTTCTTGATATACATTCAACTTCTAAAGAGAAGAAACAAAGGAAAAGCCCAGCAAATTCATCTCCATGAAGATGAAATGTACTTTTAAACTACAATAAAGAGAGCAGACTAGGAAAATGTTTACAATGATAGAGTTCATTCAAATGCAAGAGAAAGATCAAGCTCTTTGTAGTTACAGAGGCAAAAGCTATTGAAAAGAGAAATATAAACCATTAACAAGTGTATGGGAAAAATTCAACATTACTGGCAATTAAGTAAATTCACCTTTTAGCCCTGGCTGGGTGGCTCAGTTGGTTAGTGTGTCATCCTGTAGACCAAAAGGTTGCAGGTTTGATTCCTGCTCAGGGTGAGTACAAGAAAACAGATAGATTTATCTCATATAAATGTTTCTCTTCCTCTCTCCCTTTTTCTGTCTCTAAAATCAATTTTATATATATATACCCTTGGGCGAGGATTAAAAAATAATATATTTTTTGGTGTGCCACCGAGTTTTAGTAATTACATGTTTACATGTGCCATGGGGTAAAAAAAAAAAAAAAATTGAAAATCACTGATTTCGAGCAAGAGGACCATTAAAACAATAAAACCTACTTACCCTAGCTCTCATGACTCAAGAGTTTTACATGCTGGTTGCTTGGAAAGCACCAGCTCTAACCGCGCATCTCTATGCTCACAGGGGTTTCCTTTTCAGTAACTAGGGCAGTTTCAGCAATCACACATGTAAACTGGTCGGGATTTCCCTCAGAGCCTGCCTAGTTATATTGTATCTGACAGTTTACAAGCACTCAGGAGAATGTTCTTAAATGTTTTAGCTTCCCTGCTAAGGTAAAGTAGTCTTGTCATTGTATTACATGATACAAGAGGACACATGACGCGAAATGAAAGACATTACCTAAGGAATCTGTGTCTCCAGGGGCTTCAGGGCCTCATCCAAGGCCACACCTCTAGCCAGCAGGGAGACCAGGGCTCGGACCTCTGGTCCGGCGCCAGTTCACTCTCTGTCCGCCAGCACCCCTTTGCTGGGCTCGTTCTCTGCAGAAGGCCCTACGTGAGCCTGAGGTACACGAGGCAGAGGTCTCCTGCGTGGACTCTGGGCACCATTGCCCGCCCCTGGTGCTTAAGGACCCGAGATCCCCAGGGTGAGGAGTTTCTTCTCAGGCACATTCTCATGGCTTTTAAGAACAATAGTTGCCGCCCGAATGCTCAAAGCAGACAGCAGAATATTGCCCTTGCCCTCCTACCAGGTCTCCTGAGAGCCCAGCCACCCTCAGCACCTCCTGTGGGCAGCTGGAACAGGAGGAAACAACAATAAATGAGGAAGAAAGATGAGAAGCAGCAAAAGAAGGAAGGAAGGCAGGGAGAAAGGAATTCATACCGATAACAATGAGGAAGGATGGATTAGGAGCTTACAAATCCCATTACTGATAGACTGGTCTCATTTTTTCCCCCTTAGGGCATCTGTTTGAGATGCCCTAACATCTCAAACTAACATCAAACTGTCATTGATCATGTACTTAATGGAGAATTAATATACTTATTCCGGGAAGTTAGGCAGTACTACTGCTAATGGTAATCACAGCAAGTAGTGAATCCTTGTTTGCAGAGACTGTTCCAGGTGCCGTGTCACTGACTTCACCCTCACCCTGTCCTGGGAGGCAGGGGCCAGCGGTAGGGGAGTGACCCTGGCTGAGAGGAGTGAAGTCACTTGGTGAGTCATACAGGTAGTAAGCACTGCAGCCTGAAATGGAGCCCAGGTCCGACTGCCTCAGAGGCACCACATTCTTGGTCCAAAACCATTCATCAAACTTTGTGGGCACATTTACAGTGTGATGAGATGATGGGTATTCCCCAGTTGTAGTTTGGGGTGAAGGACAAGCAAATATGGACAAGACCCAGGACCACAGAGCAGCACCTCCCAAGGGGTGGCTGGTTCTGAGCGTTTGGTCAGGAGCGGGGAATGTGAGAAGGCAGTGCTGTCCAGTGTCCGACTAAAGCTGTGCAACGCCTCTCTTTGTCCTGTGGGCCACCAGAGGCCACTAGCACAGTCATGAGGCTGGGCCATTTCCCGAAATGAATGGTTCAAGAGGAAGTTCATTCACTGCAGTGTCCCAACTCGGAAAAGCAGGGCCTCCTGGGAGCAGAACTGTGTCAGGGAGCCAGGAAAGGGAGACGGAGGAGGCGGTGAAGGGGAATCGTGTAAACTGTTTCCATCCTGTCTCTGACGGAAGTCATCCACAGCCTGAAACCTACCTAAGGACTATGTGCAGGCAGAGTGTGCTGTGGACACACGCGTGTGTTTACACCTCCCCGAAGGAGAAGCACACTCCAGAAATGCTCAGAGACGGTTCCCCACCCCCACTGGCTGAGTTCCAGGAGGTCACCCCATTTGTTGTCAAGAGGCTGAACCGTCAAATACCACGGATCGCTGTCTGTGTCCCAAAGACTAGAGGGAATCGTCCCAGCCCAGGCTCGCGTGCGGGCTTCTGTGCTCGGAAACGTCTGCTTCCCCTGCACCGCAACCGGAAGAAAATACGTCATGTCATCACTCAGACACCTCACCCAGGTCAGGCTGAGTTAGAAAGCAGAGCTGCAGGAAGCCAAGCCGAGTGCAGAGGGGCGAGCTTGTAGTAAACCCCCTCCCTCCACAGCAGGGCCTCAGACCAAGTGCCAGACACCACGATGTAGGACTGCATCCAGTTCTAAAACATTTATAATCACTGAAGACGTCCATACTTTCCAGACACGGCAAAATGGAAGATATCTGCCACGCATACAGAAGTATTTTCTATCCAGAATATCCCAGAAGTCCATACAAGTCAGTAAGAAAAAGGATGGGAAAATGAGCAAAGTGTGTAAGTAGGCAACTCCCTGAATGAGACTTGCCGGTGGTCAATGAGCCCATAAGAAGACGCTTAGCCTTGCTGGCAGTCAAGGAAACGAGAATTACACAAGATAAACTAGGAGTACATTCTGAACCCAGCAGAGTGGGGACATCAGGAGACAGCTGTAACCTACTGTTAGTCAGCGGGGCGTGGGGGGTGGGGGGGACAGTCTGATCCTCTCACACGTGGTGATGGCAGTGTGACTCAGAAGACCCAAGTCAAAGTCATGGTGCATCGTGAAGCACTGTGCGTGATGGCTACCTGTAGAAATGACCTGAATGTCCATCAGCTCAAAGTGGCCAGACATTCCACAGTGTTTGCACACGGCACCATATATGGCATGTCCCATTCTTTTTAAAATGCTAGTTTACATTCCATTGGGTGAAGAAAAAGCGGGAGAAGCACCATATACTATTTATATGTATAAAAAAAACCTTGTTTACAATGAAGCACTATGTATATTTTCTATGGCTATATTCAATAGCTGTGTGTTGCATGTAAAACGACTGATAGCAGTGATTACCTCTGGGGAAGAGGGAAGGGCAGGGCTGGGGAGTTGGGCAGAGGACTTCCGGGGACACGGCGCTTGAAAAGGCCGAATGCTCAGCACTGGGATATAAAGACAAGGACAGACACCAACTGCGGAGGCGCCGTGTCCAACCTGAGTCCTGGCTTTCTGAGGCCTCGATAATAAAGTGCATTTTCACTTGGGAATTCCTGAAAAAAGTTTCTTGCTGGTGGCGCAGCCCCTTACTTTTTACTATCAAGCTTGAACACCCAGAAATTTGTTGTATTAGAAAACGGGGGGAGGGGGTGTGGATCAACTGTAAGCAAGGAACCTGCAAAAATTTATACCTACCTTTTGCAACATCATAAACATCTAAGTATAACCGTATCTCATACCAAATCTTGCCGCTTACGTTGTCATGACAACGCTAACAAACATGCAGCCCTACACCGGGCTCTGCGCTATCGATTCTACAGATGGGTCAGAGATGTGCTTGAAAGTACATATATAATATATAAATATATTTATCTATCAAATAAACATATTATCAGGGGAACTCTAAATTCCCATTTCAAAGTAAAGGACGATGAAGCCTACTTACCCAGCCTCCGTTCTGCCGTATCCATTCTCCTGTGTGTTTCGTGATGAACTCGGCCACGAAGTGGGAGATCTCCTGGTAAGCGTCCTCGTCCGCGGCCCCCTGCGCTCCGAGCAGCTTCTTGACGAGAATCCCTTCGAAGGCGAACACGGTCACAATCCGGCCCCAGTTGACGACGCCGTCCTCGAACTCCTTCTGCATGACGGCGCGGAACAGCACACGGGCGGCGTCCACCGACTGCACGTCCAGGCTGTCCAGGCACGGCTGCAGAGTCTTCTCCACCTCCTTCTGGACCGACGAGGCCACGTCTCGCAGCAGCCGGGCGACCCTGCCGGGCTGGGCCTCCGCCGCGGACAACTGCAGGACATGCTCCAGGTAGTCCTGCGCCAGCGCGCGCACGTAGCCGAACTCGCAGTCGGTCATCTCCGCCCGGCTGCAGTGCCCCGTCCCGAGCGGCTTCCCAGGGCAGCGGCGGAGACGTTGTGAGGCCCGAACTCTCGGAACGCAACGCCGAGGGGCGTGACCCACAGCGACGTCTGCGGTGGGTGGAATTTCTGGCCGCAACACCCGTCCTCCCCCGTTGTCACGTGGGGCAGCCTACAAAAGTAACAGTTCAAAACCGCCTCCGAGAGGCCCACTTCCCCATCCGGGCCGGCCTTGGTTAATTCGGCGTGCAGTCTGAATGGAAGGCCAGGGTGCACAGAAACGGGGGCACCCCCCGCCCACATTGCTGGTAGGACGGAGCTGGTCCAGCCCCCGTGAGAGCCTGGTAGCTGCTCAGGAACTTAAAAGAGAGAAATTACTTCTCTGCCCAGCAGTTCCACTTCTCAGTGTCATGTGCCCAGAAAAACTGAAAATGGGGGGACTCAGACAGACACTTAAATGAAACACCAGCGGCCACAGCAGCGCTACGCCCAACAGCCGAGGACCGACCCCAGTGCTCGTCACCAGAGGGATGGATGGGCGAACAAACCGGGGACCAGTTATTCAGCCATAAAAGGCAGGCTGCGTAGTGGGTGAATCTCAAGAACACGATGCCAAGTGACAGAAGCCAATGTAAGGGAAAATTCCAAAGAAGTACATCAGTAGAGACAGGAGGCAAACTGGTGTCTGCCAGGGAGGGGCTGAGGGCAGGGAGGGGCGGCAACTGCTCCCCAGGTACAGGGTTTTGTTTTGTGACAGAAATGTTTGGGAATGACACGGAAGTGGTGTTTACACAGCCTTGTGAATATCCCAAACACCACCGAGCTCTTCACTTTAAAATGAGTCATTTTCCATGATGTGAATGCCATCTGGAAAAAAGGTCTTCAGTGCCGCCCCGGGGCTCGAAACTGGATGGGTGAGCTCAGAGAAGGGAGGACAGCGAGCCCCTGGGGCAAGGCTCCGGCTGCGCCTTGTGACACTCTGGCGCTGGGGGGAAACCAGAGGGGAGGGGTGGGGAGGTCCAAGGACTCCCTGTGATCTTCACCTCTGCTGGACTGGGAAACTTCTGAGGAAAGTTCCACTCGAAGCCGGCGCCCTTAATGTGTGGTTTATTCCGTGCACACATCAGAACTGTGGGCAATCAGTCAGAGGCAGAGGACCCTATTGGGTCCCAGCCCAACCCCCAGCCCCTCGCTCACTGTGTGTGTTCCCTGGGGACTGGACCATAAGACACACTGACCTCAGAGGGGGAGGCGGCGTGGAAGGAGGTGGCCCCTGTCGCCCCCATCACCACGCCTGGCACCCCAACGGCCAGCGCAACACTACCATCCGGTTCCCCATCATCCTCTCAGGGGCTGACGGCGAGGCACGGGGCCCCTCGTGAGGGCGAAACTCTAAGCAGCGCAGTTTGAAGTGAAATGCAAATCTGGCTTGTGATGAGCTACGGTGGCAATTCTGGGTGGCAATTCTGGGAAACCGTGGAGACGGTGAATTTACCAGCTAAGCGAGGCAGTGGGGATTTTGGGCAGGTCGCCCGTCGCACCCCTGTCAGCTGGCTGCACCTTCCTGTCTGCTGAAGGGGCAGTGGGAGGGAGGAGGGAGCAAGTCAGGGTCCCTGGAGAGGGGATACCCACTTGTTTTTCCCATCCACATGTGGAGTGACTGATTCTTTGCATTAGGGTCTAGGAACAGCTGCAAAGAGCAGGGGGAGAGTCACCTGTAGGTGGCATTTCTGAACTATGGCCGATGCTGCTCTGAGTGCCAATTCCCAGGGATCTGGTGGCCCAGCAAACGCACCTCTCGGAGGTCCCACTGTGGGAATGTGACTGAGGAAGCACCCTTGCTGCACCCCCCACCTTGTGCACCCCCCCACCCTGCCGCAGCCCCCCACCCCACCACTCCCACAGGCTGCCCCCCCAACCCCTGTCAACCACAGAGCAAGGTGTGGGTGCTAAGAGCGGTTCCTGTAAGTCATCCCCTTTGCCAGGCACCTCGGAACCCATGACTGCCCATGACCCACTGCTTTGTGGCTGCAGCCCCACCCGGCCTCTCTTGTCTCTTAACTCTTGCGTTGTCTCCAAGGTCAGCCCTGCACCGGGGTCTGCCAGCCTCCCGGCCTTTCCCACCTCCCTCCCCACTCTCCCTCAAGGGCACTTCCGCCAACAAATCTCTCCCCCACACCTCCTCCTCTCGGGGTGTTTCCTTGGAGTGCAGAGCTGCAAAGGAGCGCAGAGACCGGGGTCGGGGGTCAAGCTTTCCCCAGCATGGCCTGTCCTCCCTCCTGTCCCCTCGAGCCATCGCCGAGCATCCTAAGAACTGCCAAAGGGTTGGGAAGTTTCCCTTCTCCCCCATGACATTCCCACGGGGATGAGTGTTTCTAGAAAAACAGTAAACGCATGTGCTTCAAAAGCTGAATGTGGCATTCCGAGGTCAGCGTCAGTCTTCTCCCTGTGTGTCCCAGTGCCTGAGCCCGGACCCGGGAAGGGTGGGGAGCCGGCCCCGGTAGGGTAGATGGAGCACACACCCATCACGCCTGGGCCCAGCCACGTCTGGGGCCCTATATGCCTGGCCCCTTGGATCCAAACACAACTCACACTCAAACTGCTAAATAGTGTGGCCTGCTTTAGTTTATTTTGGAGAGTTTCCAGAATAAACGCTTTTTAAGAACGGGTGAGAGGAAAACAAAGTATTTTCCAAAAAGAATGACTCCTTTCTTTCTAAAGCACAAAATGACCAGAGTGTGGGACACAGACAAGAGGCTGACCGTGGCCGGGCGTGAAGACAAATGTCTCCTTTCTCAGCGTAACCTGTCACCTGAGCCCCACGCACCAGGGTCTAGTGTGCAGGTCTGTGTGGACCAGCATAGGTTCCCCGTCTCCGGAGTCCACATGTGAAATTTAGGTGAAGTTAGGGGTCCTCCCAAGAACCCTCTGGGCGAGTCAGCCAGAGTGGTGGGGTCTGGAAATCTCGCATGTGTTCAGCTATTCCACAAGCACACGCACGTGCGAACCTGCGACGGAGCACCAGGGACCTGGAGGTGTGGGAGAAAGGACTGTCTGTGCCCCCCTCCCCCAGGGAACACTCTCGGGAAGGTGCCGCAGGACAGCATCCACGTGGGGACCCGCCTCGGCAGGGCGGCAGGTCTGCGGCTGGGCTGGAACGGCTCCGGCAGTCGGGGCTGGAGATTCAGGGACTGGCCGGGCAGCTCTCAGTGTAGGGTCTTTCTGCGTGTGTCTGCGGCCCGGCAGCCTTGATCTGGTCACGCCTGTCCCGTGCTGGCTTCTGCCCACGATACTGGCAGCAATAGCCACACGCCCGTCCTCCTTCAAGGAGAGGAGACGTGGACCATTCTCACTGGTAAAACGTGTCAAAGAATCTGCAGCCACGTTTTAAAACTGCCGCAGTGTGCCACTCCTACGCAAGGGCCGCTTACAGCCCCGTGCACAATTTAATCGACGCCATCCTCGTACCATCCCTTGGGTGGGTAAGGCAGGGAGGCCGTCCAGTCTTGGGGCGACCACCGACCCCTCCTCCCACCAGGCTACCAGGGGGCCGGGCCCCTGGACTGGAGCCCTCTCAGGACAGAGTGTCCCGAATGCATCCAGCGGAGATGGGGAGAGATCTCACTTTATCCGTCTCCCAATCCCAGGGCTCTGTTATCCGAATACCCCTTGCCCCGGCCAGGGAGCAGAAAGGGATGGCCAGCTAAGGGTCAGCTCTGATGGGGACTGGGAGGGAAGGACCCCGACGCCTCTGAGCCCGCTGCGCAGCCAGAGGGTCCCAAGCTCCCAGACAAAGCTCCTGGGGTGCGTGACCTCGGGGAGATCCCGCTGAGGTCAACTACCCCTTTCCCCAAAGGCGGAACTTGGGCGGAAACTCCTCGGGCTTTTGGCTGCTTCTGAGGAGGTGGCTCAGGGGAACTCCCAGCCCCTCTGAGCTTCTCAGAGCCACTTCTTGTGCCAAGGCCCTGGCCAGGCGACTTCTCTGTAGGGAGCAGCGGTCATCAATGGTAACACCATGCAACGCACGAGGACGGCAAGTCCACTCCCCACCGAGAAAACCAGGGGAGACCAGGCGCCTGGGGGGAGCTCCATTTCTATCCAAGGAGACCCATTCCCGTGGATCTGCGAGCACGGGGCGTTTCCCCCAATTCTCCTGCTGTATTTGGGAGCAAGGCGTACGTGGGTACGCAGGGAGCTGAGGGGCAGGGACACAAGAGTGAGGTGTCAATGTACAAGCCGCCTGGGGTAGGGTTTGTAAACGACGGTCACAGAGGTCACCAGGGAGATGGAGGAGGAAAGGGTAGAAGGGAAAACCCCAGGGTTGGTGGCAGGGGGGCCGGGGGCAGTAAACATCACACAGGGCCCCACATGAAACAGAACGCCTGCCTTGCCCGTCACCCCGCCCACCCCGCGGCCCTCACTGGAGCACCCACTGTTCATTCCACTCAGCAGCTCAGGATCCTCCAAGGGCTCCCCGTGGCCTGCAGAGAGGAGCCCCAACCCCCCAACCCCTCAAAGGATCGTCTGCTGCGGCTTGACCTCCACACTCAGCTCTTCCCCCAAGCTCAGGCCGCTCCCCCGGCCGTGGGCTCTGTCCCAGCTCCAGAAGCTGGGTCTTCCCGGTGTCTCTAACTGGAACAGCTTTCTCCTGTCGTTTCCGCACGCCCAGGTCTCCACGGGCAAGGCCCACTCTCCGTAGGCAGGGAGGCTGTCCAGGCACAGGCTCCTGCAAGAGTCACCTGAATAGCACATTTTGGGGTGCACCTGATGCCGCAGCCCCTCCACTGAAGGTCCCCTCCTCGGGGCTCCAGGCCACCCCTCTCCTGGGGACAGGGCTGCCTCACTCATCTTTGCTTACTTCCAGAGGCCCATCGCCCCGGGGCTGGCCCCAGAGAGAGGTCGCCAGCATTCTATCATTATCACTTCCAAGACGGTCGTGTCGCGTGTTTTACAAACGGGCTACTTCCCAATCAGACTGACACTGGGGCTGTATCCATATCAGCTTTTCTCTTAGGTTTTGGTCTGCAGAGCAGATGCAGCCTTTTCTTTTGTTTTCCTAAATGCCATCTGAGGG